TCCTTTGGCAATATACACAGATCCGTTCAACTTCACGTGCACCCGGGTTATTACGCACGGTAACGTTCTTCAAAGTTATGCTGCCGGTTCAGATACCTAGGACAATCGACCCACTGCTTCCTACCCCGAAACTTGCGCGCTTTTTAAACTAGGTGGGGATGAGCCACTACAGGTTTTCATGGTTTTCCCTTTGTGCTAAAGAGAAGGCATACTCATCTCGTGAATATCAGCTTTGCATGCAATCTTGTGTGCATAACCGAGGGGGATGAGCCACCAATTATATCAAAAATACTAACCAAGGAAAATTATCTGTACTCATAGACTGAGTATGCATAATGGCTGATATCCTGGGATCGACGGAGGCACATTGGTGTGTTTACGGGACACCCGATATCTCAGCTTATAGTGACAACAAACTTATGGGTGCTTTGAGCAGTCGTCAAATATTTTGTACCTACACAAATTGGTTGCAGCAGCCTTCAACCTGCCTGAGTTAAAGTGAATCCCACCTGCTGCAACAACGATGTATGAAAGCCTATTAGCATGTAGCAATTTGGGCGGCTGGACGCAACATGTAACCGCTCCAACCAGGGCGTAGTATATTCTTGCCTTAATGTTTACTCCGGACGTTCCGTCAACCCGAGTGTCAGTTGGCCATGAGTTATATGGTAGTGATATTAGATTAATGCATTGCTCGGTTTATTTAAAGCGGCCTGCTGCCTATTCCACAACAACAAATGCAGTGGTAGTCTACCGCCGGAATCACATCGTGAACTGGACAACTTTTGCCATACTCGTGAAATCAAGAAATGGGGATGAGTTCTTTATATCTGATTCTGCGTATGAGTCAGCAGCATTGTCCTAGAAGGAACGGCGGTACTGTCTCGACTCACTAGTTCCACATCGCCTTTAGACGGTCGCCGCAGAAGTAACCAACACTTCCTCAACTTATTCGCGCCATAATGCTGTCTATTCACACCGCACTTGCACTTCTGCTCCAGCTTCTACTCTGAACACAATTAAGAGACAACTAGCATATCCACACCACTCCTCGTCTCTGTTACCCCACACCCTGTGCACCATGTCAATGATTGCCAATCCGGCTAGAACGGCCAAAATCTCTTCATCTTGTTCCAACCCCTTTCTTATAGGACTAGCTGGGACACGATCCGCACGTCACATTCGACAAGCGCACACACCCTCCCTCGTCCACCTGTTGGAGTTATCCTCATACAAGTAGCACCACTGCCTGCGGCTGCATTGCCTGAGTTATAAAACTGATAACTGCTGATGCTATGCAGTAGAAGCGCCTCTACGATTGTCTTGTTAGGACGCTGCTGCAGAGGCCATTGTCATGGATAGAACGGATTATCCATGCCAGATGAATGCGCAAACCACAGAGAAGTCCATATGTAAGTTGCTCAGGTGCATTAAACTGAATAACTTGATAGCCTTCGTACCCTTTTAACAAATTGGCGCAATTTCAAAGCGTTGCACAAATGCCAGACAGCGTTCTAGTTTTATCATAGACTATACAGCTCTACGTGTAACCACATTCGCATGGCTATTTTGGCCTGTACTCAATTAACACGGAACATTTTAGATATGCGTCAGTTCATATACGTGGTCATTAATTGGCCGCTGCGGAATTTCCTTCATTTACCATGTACCTCTGCTCATGCCGGTAAGGCCGGGGCAAGCAGTGGCCGGATGCGGCACGGCTGCTAGGTTTGCAAGTCCGCGCACGCACTCAGTTCGCATGCAGCCGAAGTCACTGAACCTTGCCCCTGCGTAAGGTCACATGAATGTCTATGTGGCGGCAATTTAACATAACCCGAGGATGGCGGAAATCCTTGATGACAGTCATACGCGTTAGAAAGCCATAGGGTGGCAACCATAAGTGCCCGCGGAACTGATCAAGTATACACATGACTGGAAACTATGTTGACAATATAAGGGATTGTAATACTACACGATTGGATATTTGAGTCAGATCATCGTGAAACATTCGTTCTCATATGCGGTTTCATTGGGAAAGGATCACACGTCATTATCAGACGCACAAAGTAGCCCTTACGCGCATACTATACCTCAGTCGTTTGGCGTATATATTATCCAGACAATTGTTGGCCATAAGCATTATATGTGGTGATTTCTTGCCAGTGCGTTCTGCAAGTATGTGGTCCATTGCAACTATAACTTTCGACGCCCTCGGTACCCGTCTGTTTTGGTCACTGAGATTTATCCCAACCACTGGATGAAGGTATTCCAACTGCCTTACATTCCGTCGCACCTTTCTTTCCTCTATGTAACCACCTATACTACCACAATATTGCAACTGCGATTCTCATTCGAAGGTTCGGCTAACTGATGTTATAACTACACAACCAGGTCTGTTTAGTCGTGTTTGCATTGACGTTCACTACTATCGGACGTCATCGTTCTATTTTTACTGGTGTCGATTGGCGTGGACAGCGGTTTCGCTGGTGATCATCATATTCCGGATTAATCGGTTATTTAGGCTCTGTATTCCGTATCATTCCGTGGTTGTCCTACTATCTGTCACCGCTCGTAGGCAGCTGGGGTATGCACTGTTCACGAGGTGTACCGCTGTGACTACTACGGTGCCATGCGGATAACACTAGTACATTTATCTCGCTTTGGTATTGTGCTTCTTCCCAAGCACCTTCGGGTAGTAAGTTAGTGCGAGTGACATTTCCTTAACAACCTCGGGCATCAACTATGCATCTAGTTCATCGCTGCCTACTTACGTGCACTGACAGACAATCGCCTATTGCAACGATTACTAACATTTGGCGCCTGCATTTGACTGGCAGAGTTGCGATGTGTAATAAAGAAACGCGACACCCTTCACCCATGGCGAAGTCAGCACAATGGTGAGGGAACTTAAGCGCGGATATCAGAAGGCAATTGGAGTCGGACACAGCGGACTGCATTCGATGGGCCACAAAAAGGCCCGGACGGATGAAGCAAGACAGGAAGTACACCGGAAAGCGGGAGCTTACAGGACGGTCGAGTCTCGAGCCGGTTGTAAGGAAGATTAAAACAAGAAATAGTAATGAACAATTGGTCAACAATGAAATAATGCATGAAAGATAGCAGTTATCTTTTTGGGCCCTACAGAGCTCCCCTTTAGAAGGCTGAACATAGAAAGCCTTCGATATCGCAAAAGACTGTTGAAGCGATGTTCGTATGGCAAAATCGTGCACAGTACGAATGAGCGAGCGTTCGTGTCAAATGAGAGTTCGCCGGCAGTCGGAGTCCGCTGTGGCGTTTGTGATTTGTTATTTATTAATTGCAGGGCAGAATGCATTTCGGCGAGCCGTTGGAGCGAGCTTGTCGGACTACAAAAACATTGGCTAGCCCAGAAAAAGCCCGACAGACCTCAACCTCCGCTGCTGCCAAACGGTGCGCTTGGGAGTGGTCTCTCCCCCGGCCGCACCCCGCCCCGCACCAAAACGACCCTCATCCCAAGGAGAAATACCGTCGCCCATCGGAGAAACGACCCTGGTCCCGAGGAGAAACGACCACCGTTCGCGTCATGGTCCTCGAAAATATTACTTGTGTGGGCCAGTCGATCGAAAGGAAGGGTTCGGGCGTGTAGAGATAATAAAATAGAAGAGCACGCTCAGAAAACTCCAGAAAGGATGAACGATTGATACGCGTATTTAGATTTTTTTAGAAAAATGTTTTTGGAGGTTGTTGATATTGTGTTGTTTTCAAAACGTTATTGGACCAAAAACGGGGCAATTATATACAATAGATAAACATCTAAACGCATTTACACTGTACATAGTCGCAGAACCGATCGGGTTTACGCACCTCGCGACCACCGCGATTGGTCATGGGAGGCGGCAGGCTGGATTTCGGGGATGCCGGGACGTCTGAAGCTTTTAGACCGGGATCGTGGTCTGGTTGAACTACACTAGGATGCTGAAAGTCGGTGCGGTGAGTTGTGACGTCGCACGAAGCACTACTAGACGAAGTACGCGAGGTGGTTTCTTCCATAAAGGCGGGCTTTAGACGGTCCATGGTGACGACTTCGCGTCGACCACCGCGGATGTGACTCACCACTGAATCAAGTCACTGCCCAGAACTACATACTGGCAAGTCGACAAGAGCCATATTTCAATATCCTCTTGACACGTACAAGAATAAGAAACCCTCTGTCTACATATGCCGTTTTCCCAACACTTATCGTGCCTTGAGTTTCTGCACTATGCGCACTTGAAGCCAAAGTATCGTCATCCGTTGATGACTTCATTTCTCATGATTACTTCTTCCATCTCCGCAGCCAGTAGATCTTTCGGCCACTGCCGATTACATACATAGCAACGCGTCTGTTGCGAAACATAACTGCGTGTACATTTTGATCATGCCTGATTTGCTGTGCCTTGATAAATTCGAGAATAAACCATTTATTCATTCATTTATTTACAATGTGCGCACATTTCACAAGACAATAATATGGCGAAACTTACAGGTTCATCATAAGCATTCCATTAGTTTTACATTGCATAACGGGGTTTTTGTCTTGATACTCTCTTTCATTCCATTCGTTGGTACCCTGGAAGGATAGACAAATCATATATGGATTATTATCTAGCATTATTCACCCATATGAAAACAACCGGAGACATGTTGGACCCCAAATAACAACTGATTACACCATCGCACCATAATAACTAGGGTTGGATTTATGCAGTGGACATAAACAGAAGAAAAAATTACATCCGCGTTCATTGTTACATGACAATGAAGTCATTAGTGGCGGATATTTAACGATATCATTAGCGCACATGCAGGTAGGCAGAACAGGAAAAACAAGTTGACATGTCGGGCCCGCAAAATGCCACCAACTCACTGCGCAGTGTCATTAAAATATCAGTTCGCAGAAAAAGCACCAGAAAACAGTTATTATGGGGTGGGCTGCAGAAGACATATTCTGTGATACCAACATGTACGATACGGGCATTGAACTCAGTGTACTGTTCGCCCCTCGTTTTATTCCGCATATTGTAAGCCGCCTTCTGTGCACATCTCTTCATCGATCACCAAATCTCGCAAACTTCGATGGTTGGTTTATTCGCCAACTGTTGCATTCTGTGGTTCACGCCTTGCGTCGTAAACAGCGGCCGTCGGCTGTGCACCAGGTTGAACCGATGGTATAGTGTCTTCTTCATTCGGGCTTGCAATTGCCACATTTAATTCGTCGCTAAAAACCGCGTTATCCGTTTCCGATGTGACAAATTCCTCCGGCAATGCCGACAGATGGAGAGCTGCAGCGTCCAGGTTCAGAAATTTGAACTCCGGCAGCTGGTTGTAATCGACAATGTTTGTGTCCGTGGCCACGTGCACTGAAGGGGGGAACGTGAACGGAGGCATTTTTTGCGGGTCGGTTTGTTAAAAAAACTACGTTGCCACGAGGCATACAGGGCGAAGTGCACTGGTTGTAGTCGCTGATACAGTGCACGTAAGTCGTTCAAGGCCATATCCAAAATGGCGCTCGGTTCTTGCCTTCCGATTATTGGCGCGTCCAACGGCGCGATTGAAACCGCAAGTGCCCCATTATTCGCTCTCCTCCACCGTCGGCTGACCGGTAGTTCGTTGACATCCACGCTCTTAAGCTGTACGAACTGCAGTAGGTATCTGCATGGAAGTTCAAATCCGACTTTAGTTTTGCATGTGCACGTACGGCTGTCGTGGTTCACCGTCTCCAGTCGAGGATCGCTGAAAACAGTTGAATGCCAACCGATGCTGAGAGCCATAACCGGATACGTTGAACTCAAGTCAGACGCTATCATGAAAATGGCGTACAGCATCAATCGGCGGCACAAGCAGTCCAACTCCGGATGACCGACAGTACGGAGGTCGCGACGAGATGCATCCGATATCGTTTTCTGTCGGTTCCATATCAAATACATCGCGCTCATCCGTGACACTCGTATGGCTTCCCCCAATCCAAATCGCCCATTCAGCAGTTTCATCTTTAAGCAGCGATGCATGGACACCACCATATTCGTGTCGTGTGTGCCGTATGTTGCAGCACCAGGCATCTTGCTGTTGGCCCATCTGCAGGCGCTATGCAGAATAAAGGAAATGGCATAGAGGAAGAAAGGTTAATCATTAATAAGAATGAGTTCCAAATTAGCTTAGTATTTCCAAAAGTTGCACGTGTACATCGCGATGAAAAAACGTCTGAATGAAGTGGCTTGCAGAAAACGTTTGATTACATTTCTAATTATATGGATGCGACATAAGAAATGATGTGCGGAAGGAAAGACATTAAGTACAGCGTTAGCAATGGCCAGTGCATCATCGGATATGATGCACTTGACGCCGGAAGTACTACCTACAAACTTCATAAACGTGAGGAGGAAGGTTCTGACGTCAGTCTCCGTCTCCCGCCAGAGAAAAGCAATGGCAACCGGCAGGCTTTTTCGACAGCCATCGACCATGAGCAGTTGGTATAAAAAATATCTCTGTTGGTTAGTGGTGAAGGTGCTATCAATAAGCAAAGTAGCGAAACGGGGAGCACATTTCCAGCATCTCGGATGTGGAGTAGACGAATTGGGTGATCCGGGCTCGCCCCCGCTGATTAAACTGCGATTCCATGTCCAGTATATATGCTAAAACAGTACATTTTAAGCTACCCAATCAAAAAACACGTTACCTGGATTGTTGCGCCCGAACATGTGCCTCGCTCGAAGGTTGCCGACGTCCGCGTTCGTCAAGTATTTTCCGAACTTCGATCGGACGTAGAACCGGATGTTGAAACATCGGCTTTGGCATTCAAGCATTGCCCTGATTATCTCCAGCTCTTCCGGCTCTATCCAACGGTTTCTACAAAACCACGTTAATGCTTCGTCTCCCAGTTCGTGATTATGCACCATGTGGAATCTTTTTGTTTTGAATGAAGTCCCAAGCCTATCAACATTGAAATACGATCCGCAGTGTATGTGATCCAATAGTCGTCCTCTTTTACCTTCGTTAGGATGGTGGGCAAAGCCTTTCCGGTGGTACTGATAATTTATCAGTGTTTTCTTATCCGAAACATCTGCTCTTGACGTTCGAACACTGTAGAACGACTCGGAGATTCTCTCGAACTGCTTGTAATACACCAGTTCGTGGGCATTGCTATACAGGCGGCTGCTCACACCCTCAACAAACTGATTGGTAACGCTAACCGTGTATCCGTCATGTGTGGAAGGACCACTGGCGGGATCAACGAGCGTATGCTGAGGCTGATGTTGCATTCTTGATGCTTCTTCACCGCAGTTGGGCTAAACCAACTTACACTTACACGAGGTCTCTATAAGCTGCATACATTGCATTCCAGTTTATTTGTTTTGTTTTGCCTATCTGAATTGTCTTCTATTAGCTGGCTACGTTGTTTACGCTAACTGCGCTTATCTTCGGTAAGGTTGTTGCGTTTTCTAGCATTTTTAAGTGACTTGTAGACATTTTTTCCTTATTGCGGATTCGCTGCTAACCAACTTACTTCATATGCTTATTTTGCTTAGATTTATGCCACCGTATCTGTATGCATTATTGGATTTGTTTTATTCCATCTTGTTGTTCCAGGTGATTGGCCGTTGCTTGATATCCCCGGTTTGGCTGCGCTTGCTATGCATGTTAACAAGGTGCCTACCTGTCTATTACCCACTATCTCGTCCATACTGTCTCCAGGAGACCGCTGGTCGTTGCTGGAGGGGACAGGGTGCACGGTCCTTGTGGTCGTGTTAGGCTCGAAGAGTGGTTCCATGTACTCAGTGTGGAGCGGACTACTGTCCAGCTACCGCATTGTGTGTGCTTGATTACCCAAATACAGTGTGCTTATGTTTGCCTGGGAAGGAGTGTGGGCCGGCTCCGTTGATGAAACGTGGCTCTCATCCACATGACTCCCGGTCTTATTCCTTCAGGTTTACACTGGATATGGGGTGTGTGGTTGGAGCTATGGGTGGCGCAGCGCAAGCCACCCATGGTCCCTCTGTAGGTGCAGGCGTCCTGTGTCTGGCCACAGTGACAGGCAAATCCGAAACCGGATGCCGCCAACCATGGGCAGCAGCGGTATTTGAAGCCATAGCGAGGTTGTCGTATCCAGAATATATCCGTTATATTCAACCAATGAAACCGCTGGAAAAACTTACTACGTATAACGTTCTACTCATATGTTTGTCAGTAGTGTGAATTCAGTATGATTTAATGGTTACACAATCTGGCGTTTTCTTCCACAACACACCAAAAGTTGTGGCGGTAATGTTATCCGAGCAAAACGTGTTTCCCATGTCTGGATTTTTCAGGTTATGTATACTTTACAGGGGTGTAAATGCATCGTGTCCAGCTATGATTACTGGACAACGGTCGTGGTAGCGAGTGCAGGTGTATCCATTTGGTGTACAGTCATGTTCTTTGTAGGTCCTCGTGGGTTATTATGTCTTGTCCCGGGCGAGAACTCTGTTTCTCAGTCCTATCCCAGATACACAAGAAGTTCCGGACCTCGGAGAAAAGGGAAAGTAAGGGACAACCAAGACCGCAAAGAATAGGCGTGGAAACAAATATTGTTAACGTCCTATGTTATAACATTTAGAGTGGAGACAAAATGAGGCACAATGTGTAACAATGGTTGTGCTGAAAGAGTCTTTTGAACGTTCTACGAAAAGCAGTGGCTGCATAGGTAGACTGTTACCATCTAAATGGAATACAGAGCGTTGGGCCATTAAGCAAACCATGCAGTATCCGTTTACCATGATGTGACCATCGCGTGGGAAGAGAGAAAGCAGAGTTCAAAGACCGGCGGCGATTAAATGGTGGATGAACAGCTGGTAGCCAGCCTACTTTTAAAGAGAGCACAGAATAAGTAAGTAGAGATATAAACAGCTTGCGACGAGAGAGATTCAAAGGTCAATTGGTTGTAAAGCAGCAAAAATAGAGGACACAAGCCCTCAGTAAAAATGTTCGGGGGTCTAGACAGAAAGACGACATGAGAGTACTAAGAGAATAGTGCTGTGGCCGACTGAGCTGATAAAAGCCAGTGGGAGAGCTAACCTCCTACATCAGCAATTGTCGAGACCTTTGCTGCGAGACGGAAACCAAACATTTACAAAGAAGTGGTTAAGGAGCGGATGTACTGACTAGATGAGAAAGGATTGACTGATAAAAGTGAAGTAATAAAGATCAAGTAAAGGAGAATAAACGTGCGGAACAAATGTATACACAGCGTCGCGCAGAGAAACGAGTCATTCTAGGGTGCTAAGGGGATGGTGCTTGGGTATGCTGATCCAAGAAAAGCCAGTGAGTATGTTGGACTCGTACATGAGTAAGTGTCGCAGACATAGCGGCAAGTGATAACTTAACACCTCTAAATGAGAAGTTAACGGGCGTCTGTGTGTTGACCAGATGAGAGAATTGATGAACTAAAAACCTAAAAAAGTTTAATTGACGAAAGGGCAGCGAATAGCCGGAATATAAGCATAAATTAAGCTCGCTGAGGATATCAGAGCATGAGGCCTAACCGTAACAGCGCGCAGAAAGTCAAGTCATGCCAGGGTGCTAAGATAATAGTACCAAGGTGGATAGAGCCAGGGAATGCTAGCCCGAGAGCTGAAGAATTGCAGGTAAAAGAAGTCTAAGGCAGTACAGCGAGTAAGGGATAAATGGACACCTAGAAATGTGAGGCAAAATAGCGGGTCGCGCTGAATACATGGGTTATGCTTGCATGACAGAGGGCTAAGAAAGCCTTCATGAAGAAAGGACAGCGAACGGATGAAGCGCAAGAATACAATATGGTTGTTAAATAGTTCAGAGCATAAGAGACTAAGACACAGCGACGCGCAGATAATCAAATCATGCTGGGGTGCTAATGGAATATAACTAAGGAAGGCTGAGCCAAAAGAAGCCAGTGAGAGAGCTGAACTACAATTAATTAGGTAGCACATACGAGTGACAGCAGAGCATCTAGCAAGGAGCGGCTGTGCGCTAACCTGATCAGATAAGAAGGTCGCCAGATGCGAGCTAAAAGAGTTGAATAAAGAAAGGATAGCAGACAGGAGGAATTCAGGCATAATTAAGTTTACTGAGGGAGACATCATATAAAGCAGAAGTGTGGCGGCGCGTAGGTACACAATTTGTGCTAGGGTTCTGGGATAATACTACTTTGGATGGAGCCAGGGAAAGCGATTCCGAGAGCCGGTAGCTTGCAGGTGGAAAAACCAAAGACGTTACAACGAGTATGATTTGAGAACCTCTAAAATAGTGAGGTTAAGGAGCGACTGTGTGCTGACTTGATGAGTAGGAAGGCGTGCTGGAAGAAAGCTAAAAAGTTTACATGAAGAAAGGACATCAAACAGGCAGAATGCGTGCATACCTTAAGTTTATTGATGACGTCGCGGCATACGAGGCACAGGCGCTCAGATACTGAAGTCCTGTTAGGGCGCTAAAGGAAATAGTGCTAGGGTAGACTGAGTCGGAAAATGCCAGTGAAAGATCTGGACTCCTACATGAGCAGGTGTCACAGACATTGAAGCGAGCAACGGATAAAGGAATATATAGAAAGGAGAGACTAAGGAGCGGCTGTGCGCAGACCATATGAGTTATGTTTGCTCCACAGAAGAGAGCCAAGTGGCACATCAGCACCCACGGAGTCTGAAAGGAGTGCTAACCCAAAACAACTGATTCTGCGCACGCAGTTGCAAAGTTCTCTCGCCGTTGTCTGTACGTTTGGAT